CTCTAAGCTCCATCAAAAAAATGCCGAGTTTTCAAAGAGAGAAGGCGGGCTTTCGACAGAATCCCCTCCCGTCTGAACGGGGATTCAGAGCGAATAATACTCCCTACTTACAATGCTCGACCATAAACTTCCTGGAATTTCGGGGGAACCTGGTGAGAAATAAAATAGGCTGTGGAGTGGGTCGTAGCAAATGAGAAATAGGAGGAGGAGAAAGAAACAGGTTGCAAGAACTTTCACGGACATGTATACGTGCCCTGTACGAATTGGGTTTGAATTAGTAGCTGGCATACATGGAGCTGGACCACACTGACTAACATTACACGGTGGTGGCATTAGCTGGCTCAAGCGTATCACTGTGTCCTTCCCATCATTGATTCACATCTTCTAGGGTGGCTAGCAGGAACGATGCGCCAATGGTGAAGGTGCAATGGGCTGCAGTCTGTTCTCGCTGCGGACGCTGGGAAGGCTGGGTTTGACGGGGCCCCAGCCTGTTTTCCACCAATTGTTTTAGGTTGCCCGCTTCAACAGCTGGTGGAGAACGGGTTGGCGCCAAGCCAAGCCCAGCCCCCTAACACGCCCAGCAGACTGCAATGGACTTTACCCGTATGGTCGGCGAAGAACGTGCCTTTAACTCACCTTGAAACAGTAGGACTACTGATATGACATGTTTGTCTCACAAAAGCGAAATCATTGGTTGAATCAAGCCAAGAACTAAGTGTTCCGGCTTTTGGTTATTGGGTTTCTTAGCTGCTTCATGCTTGTTCCACAAGGGAACAATCACTCATGTTTCAGGTAGTGGAACCCTACAATGCCACTCTTTCGGTCCATCAGCTCGTTGAGAACACCGACGAGACGTTCTGCATCGATAATGAAGTATGTTGTTCAGAACTGCACCTCTGTGTGGTCTTCACTCCCACTTATTGGCACTCAACATCGAAAGGCACGTTTAGATGCTGAAGAAGTGTGGCTATCATTTATTCAGGCTTTGTATGATATCTGCTTTCGCACTCTGAAGCTTACTACGCCAACCTATGGTGATCTGAATCATCTGGTATCGGCCACCATGAGCGGTGTGACTACATGTCTTCGCTTCCCTGGACAGGTACTTGAAATTTCCCAATCATTATCGCCATCACTTCGAAACCATTCTGTTGTAATGGCCTTCCTTGATATCTGTAACGTTAGCACTACATGCAGATGTCACAGAATACAGTGCTGTCGATCTTGCTTGTAACAGGCCTTTTTAGCTGAACGCAGATCTCCGTAAGCTAGCCGTCAACATGGTGCCGTTCCCGCGCCTACACTTCTTCATGCCCGGCTTTGCCCCACTAACTTCAAGAAGCAACCAGCAGGTTTGTTTTACTACAATCAGGATTGCTCATTTCCCAACCAAAATAATCCTGGCCAGACAGCGGGGATGTTCTTCGTGGTAGGTTCGGGCCAGGTGGCCAGGATTTTCTTTGGCTTCGACACACGGTATAAGGTGTTAACGGCACATGTGCGATGGAGTGCGATCCCTTAAAGACACATGGTACGCTCAAACACATTGAGGGTGTATGAGACTATCAGCCCCCCAGCTGTCGATGTGTCGTGGTCCCCCCGCCCAAAACTGCACGGGGTCAGAGTACGGGGCCGTGGGAAAGTCGTAATTCCTTGCTACGCCGCCCGTTTCGCCTCACGTTTTACTAACACCGTCCGCGCGGCGCGGTCGCGTGCAGCTCTCTTGGCTTTTTGCCAAGTCCTGTAATT